ATGCATAAACATAACTGCTATGTTTTTTTATAGTTTAGAAACAAGACCATAATTATTTATTGTTGTTTTCACAATTTTCATTGTAGCTCCAAAATTTTATAGTTTTATCGTCACTCCCAGATATTATTAAATCTTCTTTCTAATTATAGATTAAGCAAAGTATGGAGGAAGTGTGCCCTACTAATTATTGAGAACATGACCAAGATTTTTTCTATTCATTTAGATATAACCATATCATTATTGAGTCATCTCGAGATCCAGAGATGAATGAATTCTTTTATTTCTTGAAAAAATCAAGTGTAAATATAGAGTCATTATGTCCTTTTAATATATCTATTTGAACAAGTTTATTCTAAATTAATTCAAAAACTCTGATCTCTTTTTTTCCATTCAATCAAAGCTATTTTGTTTTCTTAATTAAAAGACTATGGCATTATTATAGAATTCTATATGATTATTTCAAATGTAAAAAGGTGAAATATTTGCATCTTAAGACTCCTAAATAGAGTGATATACTCAGATTTTATCAATATTCTTTTCTAAAATTACTGACACTCCTGACATCCTTAAAAGGAACTAAATAACTCTAGGTAAATACTCATTTGATAACTTTATAATACAGTGATTAGATGAAGTTGGGTAATTTTAATTTTGAATCTCTTCGGTTTATTTATTTAATAATTAAATAGCATATCAAGTTCTTTGATAATTATCTTAAACTAATATAAATTATTAAAAGTTTTCAGCTCTTTCAGCTAATTTCTATTATAGACTCTAATAATGAATTTATATAGGATCTCATTTTTCTATAGTTTATGCAGATTAATAATTTGAGACTAAACAAAGACTAAGTCATTCATTAAATTTTCTCTGACTTTTACTTGCTTATCTCCAAAATTTACTCATTTTAATATTTTTTTTATTTTTATCAATATTTCCAATTATAGAGAACCCAATAATCTCTTTTTCAAAGAATAAGCTTTCATCTATAATATTGTACTTATTAGTTATTCCTGAGTGTTAAGTAGATGAATAATCAGTTACATAATCTAATTATTTTTGTTCCATTTTGATTTTATATATTGATAAATAATCATTTTATTTTTGCTTCTTAATTAAGCTTATATAGATATATTGGAAAAAAAAAATGGATTTTGTGGTCATTTATTTTCTATTTGGGTTGTAGCAAATTATATATATTCTCTATTGTATAAAATCCAAAATTTGTTTATAATATGAGCTATAATGGCCACTAATTTACCATTATTACAATCAAAGTGTATATACATTTTAACTGAAAGTTGTCTTAAAAAACGTATATATCTAAACTTTTTAGTATACTTCCAAATAAAAAGACTAATCCTATTTAATAATTCATTACTGAATCTTACATTTAGTATCAAGTTAATTTAAAGAAAAATGAATAATCTTAGTTTTTAGAAATAATAGTGGAGTTTGAGAATATTTCTATAGAATTTAATTGAGAGATGAAGACTTCTCTTTATAACTTTATGAAATTATCTATCAAATTTCCTTTTGAATTTTCGAAATTTATTTCTATAAAAATGTTCTCAAACATTATTAAATGCTTGATTAATTAAACAAAGAAAAAGGATTTATTTACAAAAATTTGGCTATAATCTATAGCGGATTAACATTCTCCCATATAAGTAATTGTATAAATCATCTAGGTAATTCGAAGAACTTACAAATCCTAATTGAAAATTAACTTCTATATCATAATTCAATAAAAATTTAAGAATATATTTTAAATATCGAAGCTAAAATTATCAGCCCATCTGAAATGGTTAGATAATACAACACAGTTTAAATAAAATCAATTGAAAATATTATTAAAATGTTATTAATTAATAATTAATAAAATTAATTTTTACTTAATTAGCATATACTAATATTTGTTAATTATGTAAAATTCTCTTTATTTAATTGGTTTTCTTAAATCAACTCTGACAAATTAAGATTTTGGAATACATATCTTGAAAATTAATAGTTAAAAATTTATAATGATATTTTAAAATAAAAATTATATTGATCATACTAATATTTCTAGTTTAAATAATGCTTTTTCATATTGATTAGTCAATTTTATGACTTAGATTGCAGATAATGAAACTGAAGTCTTAGCAATTTTAATATATTACTATTAATTTTAATTTAACAAAAACTTTGCTTATAATCTGAGTGTACGATTTTTATTGATATCACATTTGATGTTAGTCTAAGAGCACCATTATTCTGGACAGAGTAGTTATATCATTAACATTTCCTAATCTATACATTACCAATAGAAAATAATTGTTATAGATCCTATAGATTATGCTATCGTAATCTCCTCTGATATAATTTGATTTTCAGAGTAATTTATTTCTTTAATTTCAATGTGAGTATCTATTTAATTATTAGGATCAAAAAATGTAGATTACATTAAACCATTAAATTAAGCCAGTTCAAAAAAAGCCTGATTTATACAGAAATGATTAAATTAAGTTGAGGTAAAAATAGTGGTACCCCCTATAATATTATTAATTGATTACAAGGATAAACTTCAACAGTAACTTAAGAGGAATATGTTGTTTTAGTGGATAATCTAAAATTAAAATTAATTCCATCATATTTAAACCCTAGAAGATTTAAATAACAATTTTATATAGTCCATCCAATTGGAAAATTGACAACTTAAGTTGAACTAGAAGGTTAAATGCTTATTATTGTGGGGCCAATTAAAAAAATATCTGAACTACTCAATATTATTTAATATCCAAATTGTTTAAGTCCTTAAAATGAAAAACTTATTGTCACAGTTTCAGGTGTCAAAGTTAATCCCTAAATAATATTTTTATGTACCGTTAAATAATTATATTAAGATCCTTAAGCATAATAACTTAAAAAATTAGAAAGGGCCACATTAATTTAACAATTCTTTTAGTAAGCATGAGTATATTATGTTTATAGATTAGTTATATTAAAATTATTTATGACTTAGACTCTGTCATCGTTAAATGCAAACCAATTAAACTCAACTGCATAAAACTGGTTTATGGTCTCACAGACTATCTTCACTTTAAACCCTAAAATTTAAGTTAAGTAAATTACCAGCTGTGGTGATACTAGTTATCACTAATGAATATCCTTAAGGAAATTGATACCCAATATCAAGCAAAGCAAGGTTTAAGTAAACATCTGGCACTATGGCAAATTATTTTTAAAAAGGAATATAAAGTTCTTCTTATCTAAATTTGGTTAAACTTGTATATAAAACTAAATTGTTATTAACAAAATAGCTGAAGTGATTGACAAATCCTTGTTCAAATTTATGATTAGCCGCTATAGAAATAATATATAAAAAGATTTAAAACATATCAATTAAAAATAATAAATATCGAAAGAAAAATATTTGATCTAAAGCATTAAGAATATTTGATAAATTATTATTTTGTCTATATAAAATAAAGTCTTTATCTCTTAAGAATCAAAAAGGAAGTTCAAAGTCTTGCTAATCAAATTGTTAATTACACCTGATAGAGTACTGTAGATTTCTAGATCATTACAATGGCATCATTAAGTGTTATATTTTTCCCAACTTAAATTTTATTTAATTATATAAATCCTCAAAATAATGTTATTTTCAATATTTTCAATTTTTTACTTAAAAGACATATTTATTTTCTATGTATGGATAAATTTAGTAACAATTAATATCTTTCCATAAATGATTAGTTTTCAATCTTCAAATTTTACTTGATAGTAAACTATTATAAAAGAATAAAATAGAGCTAAAATAAGCAAAGCTTTATTTAGAGTTATTTATGTAGTATTTCTTATATTTATGAAAGAAAAAAATTATATAGAAATTCTATTATTTTAATCTTTAGAATAATAAATTTGTGATTAATTAAGCATATCCTATTATCATTATTCTCTAAGACAATATTTATTTATGGTTGCAAAAATTTATTTCAAACTTATATTATATAAATTTGTTATTGGTAAAGCTAATTTCAATCATTTGACATTTTAATATTACAAAACTAGTTTAAAAAGGAAATTTAAGAATTAATACGTAATTAAAATTTGTATTTTAGATTATGTTTATTCTAATAATCTGATTAGTATTTTACAGTAATAGGATGTAGTAAAATTTATTTAAAATATTTATTAGATGATATGCCAATCCTTCAATTAAAATTTCATTCAAGATTATTGTATAAATGTAGACTTTTAATTTTTATAACCAATTATTATATGCATATATTGATATAATTTAACAATCAGTAATTATCTGTTTCAGTACGTTGATCATCATCAAATTCAGGTGGATTCTCAAAAACTGAGGCTTCTGAAAACTCTGAAAAGTCATAAGTTTAGGATGATGTTATGGATTCAAGGTCATTTATAACTCTAATTATCAATTATCTAATCCTTTCAATTTATAAATTGTAAGAGGATGATTATGAACTATAATATGAGGTATGTGAGTGTTATGTAGAAGATTCCAATTATTGTTAAGGTGAAGATTAAATGGATTATGATAATGATTAAGATTCAATTGATAAATTTTGATATTGTTATATTAATTATTAATATTATTATTAAAGTATTGAAATTTAATGCATAGAATCAGTATTGTTGGCAAAGGTTGGGAAATTCAATTAAATTCCTTCCAAAAAATTTAACTTACAAATTTCTACCGCCAATTATATATCAGATTCCTAACTCCCTTATACAACTTCATATTTATTTGATGGTGACATAAGCCCAATAAATTAATTGGTTACCTTAAAGCATTCATCCTCATTATATAAAAATATTTAATTCTCTTTTTATTATACTTAATGTTGATTTCTTTTTTATTCAAAAATTAGATTTCGTTACATCTTTCTAATTTTATTGCTATAAATTTCTCTACGATCATATACAATCTCTAAGACATCTATTTGATAATATTTTTATGATGCATTTTCTTATTAGTAGGTTTAAAAATTGTAATTGATGTGATATATATTATTAAGCTCTTATCGTATGCAATACTCTTCAATTTTTTATTGTCTAATTATTTCAAATTATTCAATAATCTCCTATTAATTTTTTTCCATTACCAACCAGAATCGTTTTATTAAAAATAATATTAAATCTCATTGTTATCAAGAATTTTTTATAAATAGTAATTATAAATAATATTTAATCATAGGATTTTTAAATAACAAGTCAAAAATAACCAAAAATTCAATAATAACTTACAAATTGATCTAAGTAAATAATTCAAATAGTTAAAAAACATTTCAATTAACTAAAATATAAAATCAATTATAAATTTAAGATCCTATCTTAGTATTAACAGCTTTTTTCAATAAATTTGTTTGTATCCTCTTAAGGATCTTAAGCTGAAATACCTACTCAATCTTTTTTTCAGCATTCCATTCTTAAAGATAATCAATAATTGCAATATGGTAATATACTCCTTTTTCTTTTATGGATGGTATACAACTTAATTATGAATTAAATAACTTGGAAATCTAATACTAATTATTTATATCCATTTAAAGGTTATTTTAAGAGAAAGTTGACCAGTTCATCTTAATTATTAGTAATGAATAATCCATTAGATTCAATTCTGAAAAGAATTTAGAATCTTTAATTAAATTATCTTTTAGTAGATCTTTAATATTTTCAGGAATGAATAATTTGCCTTCTTATTCTTTAAAATCAATATCTTTAAGAGTAGTCTTTGTCAAATCTTTCTTAAGATCATATTGTTTCAAGACTTTTCTTTAATACTCGGATCCTTTTAGGTCATAGGTTCTGATTACATTAGATGATGGAATTTAGAGAGCATTTCTCATTACTATAAATATTTGAGACTCTTAACCCTATAATTAAGCTAATATAATACATTTAGTAACACAAACTTAAAGATTCCATAAATTGGGGAGATAAGAGATTCATTTCTACTTAGATGAAAGAAATAGCTTCCCAAATTTTTTTTAATTACTAAAAGTTCTTATTCACTAATTGTTTTTATTAATAATTTATTATCGAATGTAAAAAAGAAGAATGCTCCTCCCTTTCCACCATCTGGACCTGTAAAAGAATTGATTTACTCTTAATTAGCTATTGGATTAAAAGAATCTGAATAATTATTCACCTTACAATCTTTTTTTCTCAACTTTAGAAAAACTTTTGGAGCATAAATGATTATAGTAGAAGCCATTAACCTTAGTTCAATATCTAGGTCTTACTCAGGTGGAATAATGAATTAACTTTCTTCATTGATTTCCTCCTAAGTTATTTTCGCATCCAATTCTAAAGGTTATTAGGATTCATTAATTTGATTATTTATTTTGTATTTTTTTTAAAATAAATAGTTTACTTTTGAATTATTTTCTGTATAATCATCCTATTAGAATATTTATTATATGCTATAAACAATAGTGTTAACCTTATCTAATAGCAAAGTTTTAGCAATAACTACTAAATTCTATTCTTCAGGTACTAAGATAAAATTATAAAATATATATATACATAAAGAAATGCCAATTGATGATTTGGATGAAAATTACTTCCAAATTAGTAAGATTTATCGTTTTATAGTTGGATCTCTAAGTCTTAAGATAGATAATACAAAAGGAGTGCATAATTTAGCAGAATTTTCAATTGTAATAAATATTAATAGCCATCCTTTTTGAAATTTCGTGCAATTAAGTCCAACTAAAATATAACTTATTGCTTGAGTTAATTATATAAAAAATTAAGCTGTTATATATTAAGAATAATATCGAGTTACTTTTCCTATCAAATTTAAATATCTTTGATTCTCAGGAACAGCCTTCTTTATATATAACATTGTATAAACTGACATGAAAGTGTTAATAAAAACTAAAACCAACCCAGCAAAATTAAATCCAGGATTATACTTTAAACTACATGTGCCAAATAATGACAATCCATTATAA